CAGACAATGCAATTAAATGAGAGGCAAAAATTAGAAGTAGTGTATTAAAATTATTTTTTTAAAAGAGGTGAAATCATCACTGTTTGCTGCTAAGACTATATACATGAAACCCAAAAGAATCACCTGGAAAACTATTACAAAAAATATGAGAATCATCAGTCATCAATTACAAAATTAATTCACAGAAATCAAGAGCTTTCATAAGTAAAAACAAGAGATACTCACTTATAATAGCAGAACAAAAGATAAAAATCTTTAAAATAAACTTAAAAATTAACATGCAAGAATTATATGAAGAAAATCCTAAAACGCTCCTGAAAAATACAAGTATTTGCTTTTCTCATTAGGTGTTTATTCCATGAAAGGTTATTTTTGCTTGAAGTTGAGATCTAATTTTAATTTTTTTCTATATGAATAATCAATATATATATGGGTCCTAGAACAAATGGGTCTGTAATGCCTGAAAATTTTCCCTAAATTAATCTGTACATTTAATGCAACCAACAGGAAGTTTTTTTTAAATGAGACAAGGTAATTCTTAAGTTTGTATGGACAAAATATACATACATCCAGAACATTTCAGAAAAAGAGAATAATAAGGGAGGCTAGCCACACCAGAGAAAGCCTCAGTATTTAAAACAGTGTAGTAGCAGTACATGAATAGACAGGCTGATCAAAGAAACCAAGCAGAAAGCCCAGTATAGTCCAAAATAGGAATTTTGTTTATGATGAAAGTGGCATCTCAAATCAATGCAGAGAAGATGGACATTAGTTTACCATCTAGAAAAAAAAATAAAGTTGGATTCATATCTCACTTCTTACATCAGGAAAAGTTACAAATGAATCAAAAATATAAAGGTATAAAATATAACCACTAAAGCAATCAAGAAACATGAGAAGTATTTTTTAAGCCTTGGAGCTAACCTGATACAAACCCTAAACACTTACACAAAGTCATCTGATAAATTCAAACATATGAAATTCAAATACTATTCATGCCAAAAAACCATAAGACAATTGAAAAACTGGGGGAAATATTACCGCATATCACAAAGGGCTCATTCTTTAATATAGCTACATAAGTCCTACAAATTCGGAGAATAACATCAAAAACCCAATAGAAAACTATGCAAAGGATATGAACAGACGGTTCACAGAAAAAGAAATACAAATATGTAAAATTTAATATATAAAAAATGCTTAACATTCCTGGAATAAGAGAAATGCAAACTAAATTCACACTGAGATGAGGTGTCAGAAAGCAAAGATCCAGATGTTTCATATAAAATGCTGGCTGTAAAGGTTATAGGAAAACAGACACTTACATTTCTGGCAGGTATATAAATTGATACAACTTTTATAGAGGGTATTTTAATATTTATCAAAATTAGAAATGCACGTTCTCTTTGCCCCAGAATTTCCACCTTTGGGGATTTATCCTACAAATAAACTCACGAAAATGGGAAAAGATGTATATTCAAGTTACCAATGGCTGCATTTGGTTTAACAGCAAAAGACTGCAATATACTTAATTTCCATAATGAAAAACAGGTTAAAAAATTGCAACGCATCCAAACTCAGGAATACTATGCAGGTTTGAAATGAATGAGGACACTTTTTGTGTAGTGATGTGAAAAGATTCCCAACATATATCATTAAGTGAAAAAAGCAATATTGTATAGAAGAGTATATATACTATGCTACCTTTTGTATAAAAATATCAACACAAGGGCCGGCCCGGTGGCGCACTGCTACAGTGCGCCGCTTGGGAGCGTGGCGGCGCTCCTGCCGAGGGTTCAGATCCCACACACAGACCGGTTCCCGTTCACTGGCTGAGCGGGGTGTGGGTGCAGCACTGAGGGTTGCGATCCCGTTGCCGGTCCCGGTCCGGTACGGGCGCGACACTGAGGGTTGCGATCCGTTGCCGGACACGAAAAAAGGAAAAAAATATATATATATATCAACACAAGAAAGTATATTTCTGTTTACCTGTATATATATTAAACATCTCAGAAAGCATACAAAATAAACTAATAGTAGTTTTTCTGTGGGAAGGGGAATTGGTGGCTTGGAGAGAAGAATGAAAGAAAACTTACTAAAACCTTTTGATTTTGGACCATATGAACATGCTGACTGTTGAAATATGATATAAATAAAAATTATGGAATACTCATGAACAATTTATGCAATGAATTTGAAAATAAATACAAATAAAATAGGCAATTCTCTAGGTAAATATAAATTATCAAACATTTCAAAAAGAAAAGGAAATTCAATCAGTAGCAAATATCTACTTGTTTTTAAAAGCAGCATGTCTGGACTATTTTACGAGAGCTACACCCAACCTTCAAGGAGCAAATAATTTCTGTCCAATATAAATTATTCCAGAAACTGGTAAGAGAGACAAAGCCCCATCTCCTAACTCATTTTATGATGCTTCTGTAACCTTTATATTAAAACCAGACAAAGAGAACACACAATCCAGGCCCACTTTTGAATGTAACAAGACAAATGCTAAAGAAAATATTAGGAAACCCAAACCAGGACACATATATTTTGAATTCCTCATGACAAGTAGGGTTTAACCCAAGTGTATTTTTAAAAATAAAATTTAAAAATATATAAATTAGAAAAATATTTTAAGATCTATAGAAAATATATATTTTTTTTAAATATGTATTTAAAACATTTATTTTTAAATTACACATTTAAGATATGTATTGAAAATATTGTTTTTAAATATTCCATTCATTGTACACACATATATACACACACATTTCTGATGGATTAAAGACCTAAATGTGAAAAGCAAATCCTTAAAACATTTAAAAGAAAATATAAAATCCCTTTATTACTTTAGGAGGGAGAAAAATGTTTTATACTAAACAAAAAAGCACAAATCATAAAGGAAAATATTGAGAAATTCAACTCCATCAACATTTTAAAAATTCTATGTAAGAAAACACCATAAAGTCTTTTAAAAAGCCAGAAACTAGAAGAATATACTGGCATTTGCAACACATAACTGACAAAAAGATTGGTATTCAGAATATATTTTTTAAATGCATACTTACAAGTTAAAAAAACAAACACACTACAGAAAAATGAGCAAAGGATATTAACAGGCATGTCACAGAAGGGTAAGCCCAAGTGGCCAATAGACACATAGTTTATTCAATTGCACTGGTAATCAAGGAAATGAACATTTTTAAAAACACACATTTTCTCATCTAATGAATTAAAAAAAATAAGTGTGAATCTCCTTGCCAACTGCTGGCAAGAATGTAGGGAACCAGTTTATCTCATTTCTTGTAAGAGAGTAAATTATTACAACTACATACTTTGAATCATGATTGGAAAATACTAGTAATATTAAATCTGCACCTACCCTGTGAACAAATAATTCCCTTTTGCCCTTGTGTACAAGATGACATCTACAAGGAAGTTCACTGCAGCACTGTTTGTAATAGTAACAAGCTAGAAATAATTTTAATGTTTATCAACATTGTATACATTTTTATATAGTCATATAATGAAATACTAGACTGTTAAAGAAATGTATTTAATATATATGTACCCATATGGATGAATTTTTAAAACGTATGTCTAATTTAAAAAGCAGCATCATATAATCTCTTTTATGTCAAATGATAAAACACATGAAACAACACTACACGTTGTTTGTGCACATACATATATGATAAAAATATAAACACAGAGACAAAATGGTAACACACCCTTCTATTGACAATACCTCTGGGGAGTGAAGGGGGACAAAAAACCTGAGGGTGTGGGCCTCAATTGTGTCTAGTTTTTTTTTTTTTTTTTTTTTTTTTTTTTTATGTTATGGCCAAATCTTACTATTTGTTATATCTGGGTTGTGGGCATGTGGGGAGTTGTTACATAATTCCCTGTTCTAGTTTCTGTAGAGAGATGAGGCCGTCATCTAGTCTGGCTTCCTTTCAGATGCAGAAGCTCTCATGCTGAATCTGCACAGTGCAATGATTTGGGCCATGTTACCTGTAACCAACATGCTTACTGTAGACCTTCTCTGGTTCTGCCTGACTACTGTAACATCTTATTTCTCCATGCTGGACCTACTAATACCGGTTTGCAGAAGGCCATCTGCTGCCCCTATGCCAGACCGTCACCACATCTCCCTGCCACACTCAATTTCCTCCTAGGAAGTGAAACCAGGCATGTCCAGCCTCCATCCCCACCATGTCCTGAGGCTGGATCTATGTTTCTCATTCTCTGCCTATCCCCTTCTATTAAGTGGGTCTTTCCTGTGTCCTCAGCCATTACTGGCACTGAGCTTTTAGTTACAGAATTGATTCTTTCTCATTCACACTTCTAGATTTCCTCAACATCCAACAACAGGGCATAGTCACACACACACCTCTCTTACCTAGTTTCTGGTTTTGACTGTATATTTACCCACAGTTAATGTTTACCGACAGTTGGAAATTTAAACTATGTGCAGTTTTGTTTTGGTTTGACCTAAATGAGCAGTTTTGATCTGAATTTGATATTTGGCTACCCCACTCTTCCCTTTGCTTCCAAAGAACAAAGAAACTACAACACCATTTATTTTTCTATATTCGTGTTTTTAATGAGTCTAAGCTAAGTTCATGAGGATCGAGTGTACATTTGATTGCCTTTGATGCAAACATTATGTGGGCAATTCACATATAGACTCTATGGGCAAAATGCACTTTGAACTGAATAAAGGAGATTCAGTACGTTGGAGCTGAAATCATTTCAGGAGAAACATATTTCTGAAATTATGATGAAAGTCAATAGAAAACACAATCTGATACAAGCATATCTGATTTACAATGTATCAGAAAATGTGTAGCAGAGATGAAGTTGTAACAATATCTTAGAACTAGAAAGAATGAGAAGTAATATACGTTTTTAGTTGGTTACATCTTTATAACGTACCTCTCTCCAAAATTTTGAAAATATTCACAGATTTATTCATAAATACATTGAATTACCTCTTGTCTCAATAGACGCTCTGCCTGATTTCTGGTAATGTTTTTATGGTACCACCTGTAAAAGTAATAAAAATGCTTTAAATTTTTATATTCAACTATTTTCAGGAAAAAAAAATCACTGTTCTTTATTTTTAAGAACTTACTTCAGAACCGATTTTAGAAAGTTGAGTGTTTTCTTAAACTTGGATAAACAATAATCTGCTATCATGGGTCTATTAATTAAGCTTGATACAATTTTATTAATGGTAAGCCAATATCTAGTTTATTCCATCATAACTCAATTCAACTTTCTGACATATACTTAGTAGATAATTTTCAATGATTTAACCTCTTTTAAATTTCTGTGAAAGGTATGTGGTTAAAAAGTCACTATCGTCAACAAATACTACATGAGCTTTGGCAGACAAACTAAAAAATATCCATTTATTGTTTTTCCTCTCAGGAATTTCCTATTTGCATGCTCTTATCTGTGCTGTTACCCTTTCCAGAATTAAAGCTCACTCTCACCTACCGGACTCTCCCAAGTAGCCTACCTCGTGGTAGAGTTAGTAGTTAGCAGAGCACATGGACCAGCCAATACATAATCCTGCCCCCAAACACCCTCTCCTGCCTCAACTCTCCCTCACTTACTAAGCTCCTGCCACAGTGGAATTCTTTCCTTCCTCAAATTCATCAAGCCCTCCTCTGCCTCCAATCATGCTGTTTTCTCTGCGTGAAACATGTCATTCAATGACTTTAGAATATCAGAGCTATACACAGTAAACATAATTAAATAATATTGTAAGCTAAACATATAGTTTGATATGACAATACCTCATCAGTATAGGAAAGAGAGAGAGAAACAACAGAACACAAGAGAGACAAAAATTAAAATGTTTTTATCTCAAACAAGATATTAAAAGGATTTTAATCTAATATTACCAGAAATACTGTTCTTATGAGCAGCGGAAGGAAATATGCATATCTGTAAGTGTATCTGTATGCATTGAGTCATTGTACGTAGGCCAGATGTTAGCTAACTGAATCTCCTATACCTGACTTTGAGAATAAAACGCATCTCATCGTGTGGACTTTCCCTAACATCCAGTAGTAAGAAGCTGCCACTAAATTAGAATGATCAGCTATTTAAAACCCTAATTCCATCAAATTGAAAATGAACTTTAAAAAGATAAACCACAGAGAATACAGGATGATTACAGAGGATTCTAGATAAAGCAATTTGACTACTTATCCCTAGTGGGAACAAGAGTAATTATAATGTTAAACTGTGAACATCATTCAGTAATTTTTAATGAATATTAATATTGGAGAAAAGAATTTCAAGACGAATCTGAGACCTTTTGTTGTAGAAAGAAGAAATTCTTTCAGAATAAATGAGGCAGTGTTAAAGACACAGGGAACCAGCTTAAAAGGGCCCACATTAGCTAAGTTGTGAAATCTGGATGTTAAAGAGAATAAAGATGATAGTTCACTAAAATAAGTTGTATTTGTGAAAAGCCAAGACTGAATATTAATACTCAAAAAAGGAACAGTTAACATAAATTATATTTTTTGAAATATTTTTCACCTGTCATGTTGGTGTTAATTTTGTTGCTTTATATTCATTTACTATAGTGATAAAAAGTAATTAAATATGTTAATTTTGTTTAAATATAAATTGGAAATCTGTCCATATATAGATGTCATTAGAATGACTTCAAAGTAGTAACCAAAGAGCCAGAAAGAAGTATGTGACAAATTCAGGATCCTTTAAAATAATAAAGAATTCTCAGTCAAGAAAGAAACTGGATGAACGCAACATAAGGGAGGATGGGAGCACGGTATTTCAGATTTTCTTCTATTTAAATCAGATGGTAAAGGTTAGAAAAGTTTTTTAAAATAATAGGTAAGGCTGTAACTCCTACACCTGGACAACACTAATTACAACTAATACCAAATGATGTGGACATAGGAGTTGGGGTGGGAATCCTACTGACTTTTTTTTTTAAAATCCAGCATGTCCAGCTATGGTTGAGTAGAAACATCCTGTATATAGGTAAGCCTCAGGTCCCATGTCCCAGCCTTAGATTTATGATCAGTAAGTAATAGTATTGCAATCCTGAATATTTAAACTAGCACCATTAAACCCGAGAAGGTAAATTTTCTTCCCTTACTAAGTGACTTTCTAATCCTAAGAATATTAAGAATTTAGTGTGGAGATAATAAGATAAATCAAACTCATACATAATCAATATGTTTGGTATTTAGAATATCTACAATTTTAAGAGAATCTGTTGTATTAGATTTTTGCTTCTGATTTAAAATGCATAATTAATTTTAGACTTGTTATTTAAAGTTGAAGAGAATTTGACTAATTTTTTAAATGATAATCATACAGTTAAGAGAACTTGATTTCCCACATTTATAAATTTAATTTATTACATTTCCAGGATCCTTTGAAGACTTTCATAGGACTTATTACAATTGTAAATGTGCCCTGTCAGGCACGTGAAGTACTTTTTAAAAAATTAAATTTATTCAGTTTGTTAATGCAAATTAAATGTTTCAGGAAATTTAATTAACTGAGCTTATAAAGAGGGCTGATTATTTAAAGACATTTAGTATATTGAGCTTGAATTAAAGTGATTGTTCTTATTTATTTAGATTTGTAAATACTATATCAAGATTTATAAGATGAATTTGAGGGCTTACTGAAAACTAGGTTTTTATATGGTAATGTTGATAATTTAAATATTCATTTAAAGCCAAAGTAGTCATAAGTCTTTCTATGAACATCAGAAGCCCACACTGACACCACATTCTTTCCCCAACTGCCCGCCTAACTAGCTCCTACCAACTTTAGACCTAAAGTTTCTTCCTCAGAAAGGTCTTCCCCAACCCAACACCCTCCATCTAAATGGTATCCCGTTCCCCATTTTCTCCCACAGTCCTTTATTGTTGCTTCATAACACTTCAATTTAGAATTATATATTTATTTGTGAATTTAGGGTTGTCTGATGTCTGCTTGCCCATGAAATTTTAAGTTCCATAAAGTCAGAGGCTGTTTCTGCATGTTCTATGTTGTATCTCCAGTGGCTAGACCAACTAACATCTGGTACACTGTAAGTGTACAATAAACACAGATTGAACAAACGAAGTGTTTTGAGGGGCTGAAGTAACTAAGAAACGCTGTACACCCATGATAAAGGCAAGATGGACCAAACAGTAAATGCCTTTCCTGTTAGTTTCACCATTCACAGAAATAATAGTAATCACTAGCATGTATTGAACACTTACTATGTCCTATATGAGATAGGTATTATTGTCGCCACTTTTCAGAGCACTCAGAGGTTTAGAGACATTAGGTAACTTTGCCCAGAGTCAAAGAAGTAGTCCATGGTAATGCTGGGATTTGGACCCAGGTTGCTCCCATTTCCAAGCTCACACCTCAGGACTTCAACCTGGGGTAGTAATTTTTTTTTTACATTCATTAGAACAGTGTGTGTGGTACATAGTAAGTGATCAATAATTTTAGTAATTAAAAATGATAATTATATTTATATTTCAATAAACCCTTTTCTGAAAAAAGCAATACAATTTAAAATAAGTCTTTTCATCACTGGAGTCATTAAAAAGGATGATTTCTTAAAATGCACGTAAATCAAGGCCTGAGGAAATAAAATGGCAATTCTAACCCCAAAGTTTAATTCAAATGATCCAATATTTACAGTATAAGCAAGTTGTTACAGCCAGAGTCTAAGCCTAAACAGGGGAAGCAATGAGCAAATCGAGCAATGAGCAATAACCATCAGGCATTGTGTTAGGTACTTTCACATGTCTCCTTTAATCTTCTGGAAAATTCAAACTGAGGTAATGATATGAAAAATTCTTATTTTTCTAATTTTTCTTAGCAAGGTATTTCCATACAAAATATCCTCTGACCTGGCCTTCCAAAAGACCTGTTTTTGTGGCTCAGCTTCAGCTGAGTACAGCAGTGAGCCTCCCCTGGGGCATGCTCTTGGAGTAACAGTAGACAGTTGTTTGCTGAGGCAGAAGGAGCTCTAAGGAACTGTTTCCTAAAAAAAAAAAAAAGATGGATTCGGCCACGTGAGGCCTTTGTTTTACGGGAGACTGGACTCTCAGTGCAGAGCTAAATGGCTCAGGTCGATAGAGAGGACATGGCAGGCTGAGTGAAGGAGGAGAGAAGAAAAGAGAGACCCTGTGATGGAGCTGAGAGTGACACAGGAGAGAGAACAGAAATAACTAATGGACATGTCTGGTAAAGTGGCATGGATGTGTCATATGTTCTGTGGTCATCTCCTTCTTCCCTCCAATAAAGTCTACATTATTCGCCAAAGCTTCTGGAATTGGATTTGTTTTAGGGAGGTATGTACTGAGTCTGGCCTCCAGGTGGGCTTAAATTAGTAGCAAGGCCAATCAAGGAGGTTCTTTCATTTAGTTATATTTGCTGCCTGGTTCTCAGAGAAGCCTGTCTTCGTGTCTCCACTCACATCAGCTACTGCCACCTGCTGGAAGCTTATGCTAATCGCAAAGTAAGTACTCAAGAGGGGCAGGGGCACATGCTCAAACTGAAATCTCAATTTATGAAAAATATAGGACTAGTCCTAGCTCTGCTATTCCCTACCTATAAATGAATGTGTCAACCTCAGCTTCTCATCTGCAGAATGGGGGGCTAAAACAGTGATTGCTAAGATCCCCTTCACCCTCCAAATCTGTAATAGTAACAAAAACAGATTTCAAGTAGAACTCTAGTGAACATGCCAAAGTCTCTTCCAAGCTACAGCATTGGCCTAGTCCTTATCTTCAGCTATTTCTAAAACATATCGAAACATAGCCAAAACATGGCAATGTTTCTATGTAGTAAGTCCAATTCACCACTCATTGAAAATTTAATGTCATTTTTAAAAGTAAATTTTCCATTTAGGACATAGAGTAAAACAAGGGCCGGATGAGTGTTTGGTTTCACTCTGTCACTTTTCAAACAAACAAAAAAAAGTGGCCATACAAAACAAAACAAAGTTTAAGAAAAAAAAAGTTTCTGAATCAACCATGATAAGGATCAAAGTTCTCTTTATTGCTAAAGCTGTCAAATGTGTTACTTTCTCTTCCTTTTACAGACCCAAAACAGTATCTATACTTATGAGCTGCCAAAATGTCCCTGATTTTCACAGGTTAACCATAGAGTATACTTTGGAGGAAACTTACTCATATATTTCTAAATTGGTTAGTTTGTTTTCAGTCACGTAGTTGCTTGGGATTAAGCCTTCATTCCTACAAAAAAAGACAAAGCAAAACTCAAATGCTTGGCATGTTTGTGACATTATCAGGGCAAAAATCCTTTAAAACCTCAGGGATCCTGTAGGGGGAAATCAAATTCACTTCACTGATTAAATTATAAAAAGAAGAAAATAAGTTTTTTCGTTTCCATCTCAACAAAAAAATCTCTGTACAAGAAATACCATACTAAGATCCTGACTTACAATGTGAGTAATTTAAGAGGTTTTACGACCCCAAATTCTTTTCAAAGAGCAAAGAAGGCACTTAAATTATCATTTGATGTCATAGTGACTAGGTTAAAAACACAGCAATTACAAAAATACTGGCCTCTTTCTTTTTAATTGCTGTAGAATATTCCATAGTATAGATATTTTAGTTTAGCCACTGCCCTATTAAAAGCAATGCTGTAAAGAAATCCTTCAACATGCCTTCTTGTGCACAAGTAAGAATATTTCTCTAAGATAGATAGATAGATACCAAGCAGGGGAATTGCTAAGTCCCTGAATATGTGCATCTTTCAGTAGGTACAGCAAATTTCCCTCAAAGGAGGCTATACCAATTTACACTCCTATCAGCAGGGTAGCAGTTTCTCTTTTCTTACACCTTCACCAATATTTGAAATTCCAAAAAGATCTTCATGACATATTATTGAGAAATAAAAGCAAGTTGCAGAACAATGCATACAGTATGCTAAGATCTAGGTAAATTAAACGTACGAACTATACCGTAGATTTCAATATATGTAAGCATATTGAAAATGATCTGGAAGTTACTCACTAAATGCATAATGGTTTTTACTCAGGGAAAAGAGACTGGGTTTGGAGATACTGGCAAAGCAGAATTATTTATAACAGTTGCATATTATTTTAAAAACTCTACTCACTTATTAACTATGATACCAAAAATTAATACAGTTTTTTGTGGGGTTTTTTTGTTTGAGACATGCAAATAGTCCACCTGTGGGAGTGGCCAATCACACAGTCCTGAATCTACACACCTCTTTTTCCACTGAAAAGTCTCTATCACGTGTTGAACCTAAACTAAGAACTGTTAAGAGGGCCAGATCATCAGGAAAATACAATTAAGGAAAGAAGGTTTGTAATTTAGATGCTTATAGTACTTAGATACCTATAATCTCCAAATCTTGGCAAGTATCAGAGGTCAATGGCAGTGTCCTTTCCCAGGGATCCAGAATGTCCTAATAATCTATTGCAAATAAAATCTATGTGCATCCCAGGGTCTTTTTACTTAATCCCAGTTTAATTCAGCAACTACTACAATGTTTGCTTCCAAAATTAGTCATTATAGAAATATAAAAATGAAGAAGATACTATTTCTATTCTTACCTTAGAACTTAATAGGAGAAAAAGACAAGTTCCCAAATAAAGAAAGTACAAATCAGAATAATAACCTAGGTGGCAGGGATTATTATTCCTATTTTACAAATAAAGAAATGAAAACTCAGGCCGGGTAAGTGACTTGCCACACAGTAGTAAGCGGCAGCATCAGGATGTGAAGTCAGGTGTATCTGGTTCTGAGACTCCGCCTGAAATCACTGTGCTCTGTCATACAGATGGGGAAGTGTGGGACAGATTCTGTTTCATGCAGAGGGAAGAGGTATAAACCTGTTGAAAATGAGGCTTCTTTTAAACAGTCTTCTTTTTGTTTCAGTCTTCAGAAGCTGAAAGAGGAGTTTGATAAAGACTAAGCCATGTCATACCCCAAACGGTCTCTTGCCTTCCACCAGTGAGGATTATACTTCTCCAATATAAGGTATTCTTCTGCTCTCTTTAATGCTAAATTACAGGGTTCTCTGGGCAGGAAATCATAGAGTGCCTTGACTGGTATCTTCTCTTCAGCAACCTCAGAGGGTGGGAGGGGAGGCAGTGGCTTGCGTTTGGATGGTTGCACGCGGCCCCTGTTGGACTGTAAAAACCAAGAAGTGAGTTGTTTTACTATCATTTTAGCAATTCGTACTAAAAAAGAATAGGATATAGCATATTTGCCTGCTACCTCACTTCTCCCATCCAGCAACACCAAAGTAGAAGCCAGGGTGGGAAAAATGTAGGAAACGACTAACTGTAAAGCAGCTTTTAGATCCAGCAACACACTCATCGTTCTGCAGATTTTTGAGATCACGAGCTCTCTTGCCAGCACTGCATTGGATTTTTTCATGTCATATTCTCAAAAGATGGTTTACTCCTCAATGGTTTCACTTTAGTTTAAGGATTTTTCTCTCCTGGAGGAAGAATGATAGCCTTTCTCTTTCATGGGCTGTAAGCTTCTGTTTGGCTTTACCTTACTTCCTAAGAACACTGTTTCTTCCAACACTGAACTGAAAATTAATCCTCTCCTCCAAATGGCAGTAGCCAGAATATGTTTTTTCCCAAGTTCTGCCTTTAAATATAACAGAGTAGGCTATTTCACTGTCCATTTCCAAGTTCTGCCTTTAAATATAACAGAGTAGGCTATTTTAACTGGTCTTTTTTTCTTTCACTTTCTTCTAGAACATTCGTTCACTGTTTAGTGAGCACTTATGCACCAAACATGATACTAGGTTCTGGGCATGACAACAAACAGCACTTCATGGAGCATAGACAATAAAAAGACAACCTTTCCTGTCCCCTCTCCCCTGTCAAAGTAGCACTCACCTTCTTCTTACTTGACAATTCACTGAACCACGGCCTGTGACGCTGAGTGTATTTTTCTGAAAGTTCCTCATCTTTGCTCAGGCTTTTTTGTATTCTCACTTGTCTGACGTTGAAAAGCAATCATGTCACAAATGATTATTTGTATTAAGGGTATCTATAAATCCACTATATTATCACAAAACTAATAGAAAAATCCAGGTTATCTTTTCAACTGCTTTTTATTTGGAAGACTTCCTATCTCCATCTCCTTGCACAAATTACTAGCTTTTGGAACTTGAGTTTCCTTGTCTGGTGACTAGAGATGCTAAGCCCATATAGAACTGTTAGGGAATAAAACCAAGAAAACATGGCACATGCCTGGTACAGAGTCTGGTGCATATTAGCAGCCTAAAATTATAATCATGATAATGAAAACTTACTCTGCATCTAGTGCAGTGCTATACTTTGGTATACATTACCTCATTTGATGGTATTTATTGTTACAAATAGATATGGCATAGTGATTAAGAACATGAGTTTAAATCCCAGCTCCACCATGTCATACTGTGGCCTTGTGTAAGCAACGTAACCTCTCTAAGCCTCAGATCCCTCATCTGTAGAATGGGGATTGTAAAAAAAAAAAAAGGTGGTGTTGAGAGTTATACAAGCTAATAAATGTAAATCTTTTAGCATAGTGTCTGATATATAGGAAACTCTTATTAAATGTTAGCTGCTACTATTAACATGGTACCTTAGATTTAATTCTTACACAATTATTAATTGGGCAACGAAGTATAAGACACTCTGATAATGTGGAGGAGATATTCAGATAACTAAGACAGGATTTGTGCCTTTAAAGGACAAAAAGTGCAGAGTGGAACACAGACATTAAACAATATACGTGAAATAAATACTAAGTAGAGAAAAGCCACATGCTATAGGAACATAATGAGAGGAGGAATCAAATGTAAGAGGATCAAGGAAGGATCACAGAGGACCTGATATTTGACCTATGCCTTTTAATTAATGGGCACTCAACAGAAAGCAAATGGGAGAAGGGTTCCCAGGCAGAGAGAACAGCAACTACAAAGAGTCACGGAGACCCAATAGATAATAAACTCTGAATGAATTAATTCCAAGAAGTAGCCCTTGGAAGTAGACTTACCGCTTCCGCCCTGAACAGCAACAACAGCAACAGAAAATCGACTGAATGATACTATTTGAAAAGCAGATCATTCTCAGCTGTTAGAAAGCCCCCAGTCCATGGTAGTGGATAGAACAGGCTGCTGGTGCTATTCCAAAAACGGAAGTCCCTAGGGCAGGGGTGACATGAATTATTATAAAGCATAGGAGAGTCTTGACCATGCCCTCCTTCAGTAGTGGAAGACAGAAGACTGTCACTAAGGTGAAAAATAAGTTATTGGCACCCTGGCCAGTGTGGTTTCCCATCTCAGGCTCTCCTCCCTTGGTCTGGTTTATGCATTTCCTCAGTCTGTGAATGATAAATGACCAGCGTATTCTATTTTACCTTTGTCAGGGCTAATGTTAGCTAACAAATGTACAAAAGAATAAGATTCCAGAAACATCTCTTAACAGGGATTTTTTTAAAATTGAAATGTATTGATTATACATACTTGTGGGATACAAAGTTGAATATCAGTGCATGTATACAATGTATGATGATCAAATCAGGGTAATTAGCATATTCATCGTTACAAAACAATCATTTCTTTGAGATGAGGACATTCGTTCTCCTCTCTTCTAGCCATTTGGTAACGTGCAGTATTAACAGAGATTTTTGAATTAGGTTCATCACATTTCTTTAAAAATTAAAAAAATAAAAATATAAGCTCCCAACTTTTCTATGGATTAAATCCATAGAAAAATATAAGCTGAATACTTAAAGAAAGAATTAGCCAGTAAATCTGGGTCATGCTTACACTTTCATCAAGCTTAGTCTTTATTTCAGTTAGATGATCTGTCATTTCAAAAAATCACAAATAAATCTCAAATTTCAAAAGAATGGTTTGTTTTCATAGAACCTGCATTTCACAGTCAGTTTGTGCTCCTATTGACACCTGAAAATAAAGTATTGTTAAGTCAGCACGGCGCATTAGAGATGAGCATTAGTTTTGAGGTTAGACAGACCTGGGTTTTAATCCTAACCACGTGGCTGACCTCATCTTGGATAAGTCCCTTTACTTCTCTGTCTTAGTTTTCCCATCTGTAAAAATGAGGTAAATAGTACCTATGCCCTTTGAGAAGCCTTATTTTGCAGAGGTTAATCACTAACTTCATGACTTTGAGTCATCTACTCAAATGTTCTGTGCTTCAGTTTCCTCATCTGTAGAATGGGAATAAGAGGATACTTACCATGGGTGGCTATTATGGGACTACTTGAGTCAGTTCATATAAAGCACCTAGAACAATGCCAGGTGTACAGTAAGAAGGTAATCAAGAAGACCTGATACGATAGTGTTGCTGTGAAGATTGAATTAGATATCATCTTTCAATCCCTGGAATATAGAATGTAATACCATAGTCAGGATCCCAACAAGAAGCAGAAGGCACCCTCACAGTGGGCTAAGTTGAGAAGGGTTTATGTATAAAGGGAAGCAATTATAGAGACACATGCAGAGTGTAAACTACAAGGATCGTGCAGGACCCAGAGCACAGCCCTCACCACCCCTAGACAAAAAGTGATGACGGAAGGGAAGGTCACGAGAACTCAGAAGGAGAGGGGGTCTGCAGCACAGGTCACCTTGAAAAGAAGCAGTTATTATCTATCAAGGGACATAGACAGTCCAAGAAGACTTCACAGTGAGAAAATCAGGAGGATAAATCTTACTTCGCTCTCCTGCCTTCCCCCAAACCTGGGCTCTCCTTTGGCCTAACTGAATCAGAAGCCAGATCTCTGTACGTGTAATCCACACAGGAGTAAAGAGCTGGCTGGAGAAAGGTAGACAGTGGGCCTGGGACGAGAGGGGCCAACAGAAGACATCCAGCACGGTTTACACTCTTGTCCTTCATCTGAATAAAAATGTATGTCCCCGGAATAGGGATGCACAGAGTCCCATCAGCGTCCACGCTATCACAGGGTAAAGTCTATTTGGTGATACTTCCACCTGAAACCTAATACATTAACCACCATCAGCATTCTGTTAAGTAAAGGAGAAAAGAAGAGTAACATAAAAGAGCTGCTACAATTCCCACCTCCACAGCTGTCCCAAACCGTAAGCGGAAAATCATAGCTGCCCTCTTCCACCATCTGTTCCCTATTCCCCTTGCCTCTGCCAACACCCTGGCTGAAGGAGGTGCCCAACTATTCATTCCTGTAGGATTTGGGTCCTTGGTTGTTTTTGTCTTTGTAGGATTGCTACAGCTTTCCATTGACCAGGTCTATTAGGATATTTGGAAATGAAGCTAGTGCATTCCCTAAATTCCAAACAAAATCCTCTTTGTTCTCATTGTTAAGTTACAGCCCTATTCCCTTCTGGTACTCAGGATAATTACTCTGGCTACACTGACCCCCTTCAGTGCCTATCCATTCAGTGGTACAGGAATCCCACAATGGTCAGAGGGCAGTCTCAACTTCCAGTATTCCTTAATGAAAGGATTCTTCTCTTTAGCAGTAGCAACTCCAACCCCACAAACCCAAGGTCACAGGGAAAGAAAACAATATTCAGTGGGCTGTTGGGTGAAATCATGAGAGGGGCTTTTCCAGTCTCCACTGCTTGGTTCCCAGACTCAAGTATCCTGGCCATGGGAAAACAAAACCATAGTTGCTGCTGGTTTAAGACATTTACTGCATCCTATAGGACATCACCCGAACTTTGCAAGATGTTGTCTTGTAGATGTCATTGTAATTGAGCCTTCAGCAAGACATTCTTCTGTTCTGTCAAGTCAACTGCTTTTGAGTTATGGGGCACATGGTAAGTTTTTCAGGGGACCATTGAACGAGTACCAGTGAGACTTAGAAAAGGCTAACTCACCCCTCAGAATGGGTCACCTTGTCAACCTCTGGTTATATCTTCCCATTCTCTCTACATTCTAAAAGTTGTGGTTCAGTGGTAAACTTCCCATGTCTACCCTGGACATACAGTTCAAGTCCAAGCCCAGGCAAGGACGCACCTTTACTCCAATGCTCTTTCACCACTCACCCCTGATTTAATAACGTTCTCTCTTCCTTTGCGTGTACCCAGAAACCACTCATTTCCCAAGGTCTATCCAAAGGCTTATTTCCGGGGACAAAAAATAAAATAAATTACTGATTCCCAACAATCTGCACCATATCATGTTATTTGGTTTTTGTATTTCAGTTGCTTCTGATTGTCAGCTTTCATCTGGTGTGTCTGGTGGTGTCTGCATAAGCAAATTGGAAAAAAAAAAAAAAACTCCTTGGAGAGAGTGTACATTAGCTCTTGAGGATTCTATCTGTTTTGGGAGTGGGTCTAATTTATACTGTTACCAATTTATTTCAGTATTGCTTTAGAGCCCCATATAGATCTGTATCTATCCAGGCCAAGGGATGCAAAATTAAATGTAGTTTATATAAATGAGTGAAGGGGGTCAGAATACAGTGTAGCTTGTGGTAAAATGCTGTGCCCACACCCACTTGGAGGTATTCAAATTCAAAATTTTAAAAGTATTCCCTCCCTCTCCTATATCACCAGTTTTTGCCCTCTCTATTGGATCACTCCCATCAGCATACAAGTAGGCTGTTACTTCCGTCATTTTTGTCCTGCTGCCTCCCGTACCACGCCCCAATCCTTGCTCCACCTGCCCCAACCCCCACTTATGCCCCTATTTCTGTACAGATTTTGATATTGTTCTAATGTGTAACAGAACCAGCCGAGTCCCCTTTTAGCAGAAGGATCTGAAGAGCAGCAGCACAGGTGACCACAAGCATGCAGGTGCATCACCTCAGGTCTGGCACACATGCACATGGTGGGCACACGTGTAACATCCTGAACAGAAGTGATTCCATTTTGTTAAGCCTTTTAATTTAAAAATTTGTTCTCTCCTGTAACCCAAACCACATGGCCTGCAGCTGATTGCCAGAACACAATGACTCTTGTTCTCAGAAGGACAGGTGGGTCCCCCCAAACCCCCACACCCATAGGGAGACCTCACAAACCGCCCTGTGCCAGGTGCCCGGGAAGCAGCACCTCCACCAGGGCCCACGTGTGAGGGCTCTGGAGGCCTTGCTGCATTCTCCACTGCCCCTGCCCACCCAGAAGTGCTGCTGCTCTTCTGACCCCCGCTGTGAGGGTGGGATTCTTGGCCACCCAAACTGACTTCCTTTTTTTGTACAAATGGAAGTGATCCAGAAGGAGCTGCCACGCCCACTCTGAGAGTGTCACGCCACCTTGCTTCAGTGTCCTCATCACCCTTTTCGCCTTTAGTCCTGGGGAAGGCCCAGCAGATTCTCCGGCTCTGACCCAGGGGTGTCTACATCACCCCCATTTACTTGTATTAAAAAAAGAGATTGAAAAATGTACTGAGGGGAAAAAATGTACTTTTTAATATATAGTTAAAAAAATGAACTACTCATGATCTTACTTCCTCATTAGCTTTGCTCCCTGCTTATTGTAAAATCTAAATTAATAGTCTTTACCTGCTGTCTCCAACTGTTCTCCTTCCATTTTCTCTTAACCCGTCCCAGTCAAGCTTTTGTCCCCAGCACTTCTAAAAAACTGCTCTTGTTAGAGTCACCAGTGAGCTGTGTGCCACCAAGTCAGTGGTAGCTCTAAGGCCTCATCTTAACTTCTCGGCAGCATGTGGTAATATATCCCCTGGCTTTGCTCCTCCTCGGTCTCCTCTGTGGCTTCCTTCTCCACCTCCCTAGCCTTGTAATGTTAGGCTGCCCCTAGTGCTTTTGATCTCTTTCTTTGTCTGTCTCATTCCTTCCTGTGGCTTAAAAACCATCAGCTGATGACACCCAAATGTGTCTGTGTCTACCTAGCCCAGTTCTGATGAACTCCAGACTCACATATCCAAATGCATTCTCAAATTCTCAACTTTGACATCTAGTGGACCCAAGATGAAATCCGACCTCAAGTTAACCCAAGATGAAATCCGAACTCCTTTCCTTCTTCCCTTCCCAAACTTGCTCTACCTGCCCTTCCTCATCTTGTCAAAAGCAATTCCTTCTTTCCAGTTGCTGAGGCCAATGACTTCCAAGTCATCCTTGACTCCCCTCTTTCTCTCACACCC